AGGAAGAGTTAGAACTGGACCAGGGAAAGTGAGAGAAGGAGGGAAATTGGAAGTAGAATTGATGATTTTCCAGAACTGACACCAAAGACAGCATCAGTGTATCAGAGAAAGAGATGTAGTTGGGGGCCCAAGTTGGACTGGGACAAAGAACATTCTAGATACCCCACAAAAGACACAACTGGGAGCCATGTGGGTACCCATGGCCACCCCTTTGACCTGGAGAAAGCAAAATGAGTTAAAGGAGAAGTTGTTCAAAGTGCAAATGAGCTGAGCCAATTGGAGAGTAGTAATGGATGGGAATGGTTCAGGTCTCTGATCAAGGAAGAAACAGTGAGGCCCAGACCAATCTCACATGTGGAGGGATCACACATCCAGAGAAGCCAGCTAGGACCCAGAAAACTGGAAATTGTAGAACCAATGGAAAATGCCAGGTGAATCACAAATGTGAGCAGGGAAGAGACTGAACAAAGGGGAATAGCATAGTCAAGATCAGAAGAAGAAATGAGTTCAATGGGACAGGAACCAGCTGAAATGATGGGTCTGGAGGCAGTCCTGTTTGAGGATTTTGGGAAGAGGGCAGAAGCGGCCTGTGTGGGTTGGGGGCCTATGAGGTTGTCATTGTGGAAGGAGATCTCCAGAGGAGATGAGGTCAGCGACAGTCTTGGAAATTACAGCCTGGTGTTCAATAGTGGGGTCATTGTCCAGCGAGAGATGGGAGGAAGAATCTGACAGTTGGCACTCAGCTTCTGCCAGGTAGAGGGCAACTGGCAGAATGTTTAACAGCACCGCCTTATCAGCGGGTTTGATAACAAGATCAGGGTTGGAACTGAGAGAGCTTATTCCAACATGAGCACATTTTTCATCAGATTTCTGTACATTTCTGATTCTATTCAGTCGCTGAGTTGTTGCTGTTAGTTTTGTGGCTATTGTCAATTCAAAGGCTAATTAATCAAACTAATAATTCACCTTTGGTCAGCCACAGGGATATATGACAAAGTTTCTGTTGTACTCTGTTGTTTTACCAAACCTCCTCATCATTCACAGCCTGAATAGTTTTACATGTGGAGATTTTATTTTCTAACCAATTAGAATTTGACTGTCATTGAGGGCTTGTGGTCTGTCCCTATCTAGAAATGGAGATCAAAGTCAAAATCTGTGAGCTTTCCACAAATCCATTTAGCAACAAATGCTTCCTTTTCTATCATAGCATGTCTGTGTACAGTTTCTGCCAGTGAGTGGACACATAGTAAACTACTAAGAATCATACAGTACAAGAACAGGCCGTTCGGCCCTCCAAGCCTGCAACGACACATTTTCCCCTTCCATATTAAAACTGTTTTCATTTACAGGACCCGTATCCCTCTATTCCCTTCCTATTCATGTATTCGTCCAGGTGTTTCTTGAATGCTGCTATTGTGTTTACTTCTACCATCTTTCAAATTGGCAGGCAGTAACTAGTGGGATGCCACAGGGTTCGGTGCTGGGACCCCAGCTATTCACAATATATATTAATGATTTAGATGAGGGAACAAAATGTAACATCTCCAAGTTTGCAGATGATACCAAATTGGGTAGGATGGTGAAAAGTGACAAGGATGCAGAGATCCTTCAGCATGATCTGGACAGGTTGGGTGAGTGGGCAAATCAATGCCAGAAGCAGTAAAATTTGGATAAATGTGAGGTTACTAACTTTGGAAGCAGAAACAAGAAGGCAGATTACTACCTGAATGGCTGTAAATTGGGAGAGGGGAGTGTGTAGCAGGACCTGGATGTCCTTCTGCACCAGTCGCTGAAGGTAAGCATTCAGGTGCAGCGGGCAGTATGTTGGCCTTCATTGTGAGAGGTTTTCAGTACAGGAGCAGGAATATTGTGCGCAGTTTTGGTCTCCTTTTCTGAGGAAGGATGCTCTTGCTCTTGAGGGAGTGCAGCGAAGGTTTACCAGGCTGATTCCCAGTATGGTAGGTCTGACGTATGAGGAGAGATTGATTAGGTTGGGATTGTTTTCACTGGAGTTCAGATGAATGAAGGTGGGGGATCCCATAGAGATTTATAAAATTCTAACAGGATTGGACAGGGTAGTGCAGGGAGGATGTTCCTGATGGTGGGTGTGTCCAGAACCAAGGGTCACAGTCTGAGGTTTCGGGGTAGGCCATTTAGGACGGAGATGAAGGGGAGACATTTCTTCACCCAAAGAGTGGTGAGCCTGTGGAATTCATTACCACAGGAAGTAGTTGATGCCAAAACACTGAATGTGTTCAAAAGGCGACTAGATATAGCACTTGGGGCGAATGGGATCAAAGGTTATGGGAGAAAGCAGGATTAGGCTGTTGAGTGAAATGGTCAGCCATGATCATGATGAATGGCGGAGCAGGCTCAAAGGGCCGAATGGCCCCCTCCTGCTCCTATCTTCTATGTTTCTATATGTTTCCATGTTTCTATCTCCTCTGGCAGCACGTTCCAGGCACACACCACACTTTGTGTGAAACCACGCCTCACACATCTCTTTTAAACTTCCCCCTTCTGAGGAAGGGTTACTGGACCCAAAACGTTACCTCAGATTTTTTTTATTCACAGATGCTGCCAGACGTGCTGAGCTTTCCCAGTAACTTCTGTTTTTGTTCCTGATTTATAGTTCTTTCGCTTTTTTTTGGTTTTTAGGAAGTTTCTGACTGGGTTTATCCTGCCCATCAATCTCTGGAGCAGTAGGAGGCCATTCAGGCCATCAACTCTGCTCCTCATGTTCCAAGGAGCTGGAAACTCTTTGATTGCTGCTATCTTTTGACATTAGATGCACCCACCATCTGCCAAAGGAAATTAACAGTCAGTTGTGAGAAATTGCATTTGCTGGTGAGTGTAAATGAATATTGTCTGGGTACCCTTTTAAATATGATGCCCAGATATTGGAGCCCAGTAGGTCCCGGCAGGTTTCAGAACTTCCTATCTATAAAATTTGATATTTTACCTGTGCTTGCAATGAAATCCCACAGGAAAACCTAACCTGTCTCCAAAGGAAGTCCTTCCCACTTTTCAGGCCCATTAGGTCACTTAACTTCAGAAGAGAAAGTTCCTTCCAGTTGTTCTACAATAGTTGTCCTATAACCTTGAGAGTTCTATCTGTGGAATATTTATTGATCTTATTGAATGGCAGGACAGGTTTGAGGGGCTGAATGGCCTAATCTAGCTCCCAAGTCTTGTGTTTTTGTCTCTAGTTCCTAACCTCATCCACACAGGTAGCAAGCTATGCAGACCAATGGGCAAAAATTGTAGCTTCAGAATTTTCTTTGGTTGACCGACCTGCATTTGAACCCTCCTGTTCCTGAACACTAATCAAATTCCATCCATTATCTAAAGGATGGTTTTTTCTTCAATGTCAGAATGTCATTTCTCTGATATTTACATCTCAAACTCCATCTCACTAACTCAGAGCTACAGAGTTGTAAACACTTGATTAGATGTGACTGACTGGGATCATGTTTGGTCACAATTGGTTGGTTTGGGATCTTCTCTTAGATGGTTGCAGTTGATTCTTTGGTTACCTGTGCTCTGGGTAAGTCACATTGGTTGGTTTGGTATCCGAGAGATCTGGGAGGATTAAGTAGGCTGACTCAGTATCTGTCGGCTTGTATTTGTGGTCTGTAATAGTACAGAGCAATGGGTTGGAATCTGTGCCCACCTCTGGCCCAGGCTATTTGAGATAGTACCTTTACCCTGGGAGAGTTAGGGCTCAGCGCTCTGAGTTTCCAGGTTCATTGGGTTTGGTAACTTCTCAGGGATTGCCATTTCCAGCTTAACGTCACTATCGAATGCATTTTCCCCTCCCCTTCCAGCATTGCAAAGGGACCATTCCTTCCTCAACACCCTGGTCCACTTCTCAATCTCTCCCAAAACCTATCCCCCTTCTCATACCAAAGATGCTACATTCTCCCCTTCATCTCCTCTCTTTCTACTATCCATGACTTAAACATTCCTTTAAGGGGAAACAGCTGTAGTTAGCATATGGTATACACCACTCCAGTTCTCATCTGCACTGAGGAGACTAACTGCAGACTGGTTCTGACACGAGTAATCCTGATCTTCCAAAACAATTGCTCACTGCTGCAATCCCACCCAGGCCTCCTTATTCTCAGCTTTCCATATTCAGCTAGACACTTTATGCAGGGAATCTTAGTGGTAAGATGACAACCCCCACCCACCACCACCACCACCACCACCACCACCACCACCAAAAGAGAAACAATACACAGGTGTATGAGAGCATGGGACTAGCCCTGGTGTCCATCAACCAGATCCCAACTATTGATCAAATAATACCACTGCTTTGTGGTTTGGCCAAGTCAAACCAGCTGGTGGTGCCTCTAAGCACATACCTTCCAACCATTCCTACAATCGAGTGGGCTTCCGATGTGGGTTCTTCTGCCCATTCTCTGGTTTGAGAGTCGGTAAGCTCAAGCTGAAGATACAGAAATTGGGCAAGTCTGTGTCTCTAGATCAGCCTAGGCTATACAGAAGAAAAAGACAAATGGAGGGGACCCATCACAGCGAGAGGACGAATACAGGAAGTGTGGCTTATGGTTTACAAAAACAAATTTGATTCGTATTAGAGCAGGGAACCCCAGCTTACTGCCAATGGTGGGAAGAATCATTGTATTCAGTCAGCCTGTGCCTTAAGCTGGACAACCCGCAGTCAAAAAGACCTGACAATGCCTGCTGTCTTCTATGAGTGCAAAAGACTTACTTGTCCCTTTACTGCCCCCTTTTTGCCTTACACTATGTCCTGCCTTCCAGCCTCCTATTTCCTTTCTCTCTCCTTTAGCTGTTTTCCGGCCTCCGAACTTGCCTGAAACCTGTCCCACTGAGTATTTTCTGCATTTTCTCCTGAGATTTCCAATGTCTGTAGGTTTGCATTTTCATATAAATAGATAGAAGGGACTGAGAGAATTAATAGTATAAATTTAACAGTCTTAGACAAAAGAATAACATCCAGTCAAATTAATCCAAAGGTCTACAAGGAATGGAGTTCAGAAGGTGTGGGTGGGAGGAGAGGACATGATGCTCCAATGATAGCCTATGATGCCCTCCTCTTCGCTGGCAATGACTGGACACAACTATGTCATCACGCCATGTTTCATGGGGGTGAGTACGACTGTAGATTATTTGCATTGAGATTTGGATTCATCAGATCAGCATGGAATGTCTGAGAGGATTAAGGTAGCCTTGGAGAGATGGGTTCATCAAACATAGAAAATTCTCTTTCTGGTTCCTCTGCAGATGGAAATTAAACTTTGAAAACATGAAACTGTCATTTCAGCACATTAAGCTCAGAATGTTTCAGAAAACAATTAGGATGTTTATCAGCTTTTAATGGGAGATTTTTTTGGCTGGTTAATGCCTTAGCTCCATCTATCCAGCATTGTGATATCGTCCTGATGCTCTCACCGAATATAACTCCGTATTGGTGTCTCAGAAGCTCCAATTATCCCCTAGCATCTACACCCCTTTTTGGAGGAAGACTGTTCCAAATTTTCACCACTCTGTGTGTGATTTCCCTCCTGATCAGTTTCACTCTGATTCTGGTCTTATTCTTCCTAAGTCCTGCACTCCTCCTCCACAGGATATCATTTCACACTATCTACCCTCCCAAATCCTTTAGGTGACTTCTACATTTGGATTGGATCAGCCCTCAATTTGCTTTATGCAGGGTCTATGACATAGGTTTATAGAACCTAGTTTCATGTTGTAGCCCTGGTAAATTGGTCCTGAATCCTCTTCCAAGACCAGTTCATCCTTCCCGATTATCCAGTGCCCAGAACTGAACCCACAGCTCTGGAAATACCAAACTCGGTATCTGGGATTTCAGGATTTCTCCTGGTACCTTGACTGGTACATTCAACAAGCGTAAAGGGTGCCTAAACTTCAGACTGTCTGGAACAATCTCTCTGGACATAACATTCAGAATGAGAGGAGACCATGTAGCACTTGATGTCATCAGGGCCATCTCTAGTAAACGAACATCAACATACAAGTAGGATCCATATCGTCAACCACTCTTGCATCCTTAACCAACAATGAGATTTGCTGCTGTATATGGCACCTTCCTGTGCATTAACAGGTTGCCACATGAGCCAGCACAATAGTGTAAAACTAGCTAAGGAGAAACACTTTACCTCATATCTTTATATCAACAGGTGAGAGTGGAGCCACTGGATCGATTGCTGGCTGTCTCTATGGCCTCCTTTATGGAATGACCAGTATCCCCCCAGGTTTATACAAGAATTTGGAATTCAGGGAGAGACTGGAGGAGCTTGCAGAAGAACTGTATAAAGCAGCAAATGACAGCAAATCCAAATGACCTTGAGAGGTATAAGGGGACAAAACCATATCATTACATTGCAGATGACAGATACTGGAAATCTGAAAAGTTACTGAATGAACTACAAATAATAAATGGATAGCAGGACAGATAAAGACGATAAGTAGGAATGAGCACAGTTTTGTGGCTTTATGATAAATTTATGTACTTCATAAATATAATATGTGCACAAGTGTCCATGGGGCCACGCTTGCTTGGAACCAGATGTTCAGCATTTTAGGTTTTGTTTCTAATTGGAATTTCAGATGAACCTCAAATGATATTACAGTAAGATTTGACAGAAATACTAAGCAAATTTCACCCTACAATGTTTCTAAAATGCCTTAGTACATATAGTGTACTAATCTAATATACATAAATGTATACTTCTGTAATGTCCACTTTCTAATACTGTAGAAGTGTGTACTTTAAAATACATGTAGGCAGATCTTGACAGTATACATGTACTGTGCATTTTCCTCTATTAAACATCCAAGTACAGTGTAGGATGGTGAGTTATAATCCCAGTCCCTCTGTTGGTGCTCCCCATCACACCTGAACCGTACTGCACATTCCTACCAAATTGGCAGCATGTAATACTTACTTTTAAAACAAAAAAGGCCTTTACTGCAGGGCCTCCCAAACTCTGGGTTGCAACATTCTCCCCAGCCAAAATTTTGGGGACAGGTGTTCCAGACAGCCATGGGTGCCATGGAACTCTAACCCATTGCTAAAAGCTGGTGACCCTTTTAAAATCTGAATTTGTTTTGCAAAGTGGGCATAGCCTTGATGCCTGAATGCTGTGATGAAAGACCCTGTGTGGAGAAGTAGGTTAAAAAAATCTGCCAATGAATCAGATCATTTTTTCCCCTGGCCTCTGCTGTCACAGATGTCTCAGCATCCTCACCCCAGTCATGGCTATTCTCAAGCACCAAAATAGGGTCTCAACTGGGAAAAGGTTTGGGAAACTCTGCTTTAAGGGTTAAATTACAAAGACGGTTTTCATAAACTTGGCTTTGCATTACCTTGAGTTTAGAAGAGTGGGAGTTGATGGAACTGGAGGGGCTTAAAATGCCAGAGAATGACTAGGGAGGGGATAGGGATGGAGACAGAGGGGAATCCAGAACAAACCATCAATGAAACAAGAGCTCAGTGGTTCAGGGATGATGGCGCAAGGCACTTTATCAAAGGGCAGTGAGAATCTGGATCACTCTTCATCTTTTCGCCTGCACCCCACGCCCCTCTAGAAGAAAAATGTGCCTGTTGTGGGCATGTAGTTTAGGGGACTGACATTAGTAGATTTTGGTTTGGTGAGGCTATCAAGAGATATGGTGCAACAGCAGCAAAATGGACTTAAGATACTGACTAACCATTATCTATAGGGAGGCTAAAGCCTAGTGGTATTATCACTAGATTATTAATCCAGAAACCCAGGCAATGTTCTGGGGAAATATCAGAAACATTCCTCTGATGCTGCTTGGCCTGCTGTGTTCATCCAGCTCTACACCGTGTTATCTCAGATTCTCCAGCATCGGCAGTTCCTACTATCTCTGTAACAATGTTCTGGGGACCTGGGTTCAAACTCCGCTATGGCAGACGGTGGAATTTGAATTCAATAAAAATCTGAAATTATGAGCCTAATGATGACCATGAAACCATTGTCAATTGTCAGAAAAAACCCATCTGGTTCACTAATATCCTTTAGGGAAGGAAACTGCCGTCCTTACCTGGTCTGGCCCACATGTGACTCCAGACCTACAGCAATGTGGTTGATTCTCAACTGCCCTCTAGACAATTAGGGGTGGGCAATCAATGTTGGCCTAATTTGAATGAATTAAAAAAATTGAAGGGGGTTACAGGTCCAAGAATGCATATTGCTAATAGTGACCGACACTGGTTTAGTCTGGTGTAGTAATGTACTAGTTATGGGAAGAACTTCACTCTATGCAGATTATTTAGATTTAGCAGAACGGTTCAGTGTCCATTCCCTCTGTTGCTGCTCATGGCTGCTGTACGCTCTTTCCCTTCGATCTCCATCACCTGAAAGTTAAGAGCAGCAGGTGTATTATTACCCTCAAGTTGTTCTCCCAAGTGGCACTCTTTCCAGAAAAGGATGTACGTCAGCCAATCTTTCAATGTCTCAGTTAAAATCTTGGAGCCCCCTTCCTGTGTAGGTGCTGTGGTTGTACCTACACCAAATTTAAAGAGAAGGCACCACATATTATCATGGGAATTTAATGATGGGCTTTGCCAGTGATGCCCACATCTTGAGAATGAATATTAGAAGAATTATTAGCACTTCAAGCAGCAGGTTTTATAGCACTCTCTGTTCCTTAACTCAATAACGGTAAACATGACTCAGAAGGAGGTATTCATTTTTTATTCAAACTTATAGATTCCTTGCAAGATGTCATTTTATATCAAATACATTTTAAATAGGAAAATAATCCAAACTGTAGCATATAAAATTCCGTACATATTTGTAATCCTTACATATACTATTAAAATAATACTGAATAAATATTGAACATATATGCACATAGAAAGACAGCTGATAAACTGACTGATCCATTAACAGCAGCCACACTAAGCTGATTATGATTATACAGGGGGTTCTTGTGTCATTAACCTTTGGCAATTTTACAAGTTTTGGCTGAAAAGTGGGTTTCCCACCATCAGACTTTGATAGCTCTATGTTTAAACCTGCTGGATTTACAAAGCCTCTGAGCTCTCTACTCTGTAACTGACCTTAGTGCTTGTAACAGCCTCTTCCCCTGGTACACTCGCCTTTTTCAGAGGAATTCATCTCAAGGTAGTAGCACCAGTATTCTCAGGCCAAGAGAAAGATCAGCACCTACCAGAGATTACAATGTCACTGCTGGTGGGCAATCTAGAAGATTACTTTCATCATCTGACTCTAAAAGCACCAATATCAATCTTTTTATTTTTAAATGAAATTATTATTGGGGAAACAAAGTGTGTGCTTCCTGAATGGACACAACATCCGGTGGTGCAGTTCTAGCAGAGATCCTTGTTCATTTTAGACCCTGGAATTTCGCTTGAAGGGCCTGTGTACTTTTGGCAGGGACCCAGTTTACTCAGGGGCCTGGGGTCTGATTGGGGAGAGGAAAGGCTTACCTGGCAAGCAGAGATTATGAATCGAAATATATAAACATGATCTTATTCTGTATAACGTAGACCAGCTAACCATTTTAATACTGTATCAAAAATACAAGAATGTCCTTTGAATACTTTTGGACCACTTTAAAGTAGGATCACCATCTTTTGGGCCTAGTAAAGGGCACTCATAGCCCTGGGACATTATTCAGAAGGCATGATCACATACCTGGGTACATACACCTGGCACCAAAACACACCTGAGCACAAATACCTAGCACTGAGACACACACCTGGGCATGTATACTTGGCACTGAGACATACACAAATTTGCCAACAGCTGCAGTGGATCTGCGTTAGGCAGAAACTTACAGCAATTTCAGTAAAATAATTTGTTAGTTTAATGATTAAAACATATAATTGTCAAAACCTTCAAGATAACATAGATAAAGCCATGGCAGTGGTTTGTAGAGTGAGTCTCATTTCATACAGATATATATAAACACATATAAACTTTGCATGCAAAATGAGGTTACAATGATATGAAGTTCTCCCTAAACCATGAACTGAGTATAACCTTCAGCCCCCGTCACAATGACATCCATCCAAATTCTCATGGTCTCAGGCGACGGTGCTACCATGTAGAAGATTCGGTCTCTTGTCTTCACACTGAAGGTAAGCAGGGGGTTGGGACTCTGAAACAATGTACAAAGTTCAAAGCATGATGACTAAGATGCCTATCATCCTGCAATGTTTCCACATTACACAGATCTATACTCAGCTGATATCCCAAAGGAATCTCACTGACCCCTTCCTTAACAGGACTGCCTGTCACTTTGATGTTCATGCTTCCTGTCAGCACATGCCTGAATGCAGCAACTAACTGACCCTGCTCTTGTTATTATCCTGTTGCTCGGTTTTCTGGCAGTGCTTCACAGTGAGAGCTTTAAATAATAGTTTTTGAAGATATTCATCAACTGTCCAGACAGGAGCTCAGGACCCACCCTCCCATCTAGACGGGAGCTCAGGACGCGGTAATGACCCACCCTCCCATCTAGACAGGAGCTCAGGACGCGGTAATGACCCACCCTCCCATCTAGACAGGAGCTCAGGACGCGGTAATGACCCACCCTCCCATCTAGACAGGAACTCAGGACGCGGTAATGACCCACCCTCCCAACTAGACAGGAACTCAGGGCATGGTAATGACCCACCCTCCCATCTAGACAGGAGCTCACGGCACAGTAACGACCCACATCGCTGTCTAAACAGAAGCTCAGAGAAGGGGCATGACCCACACTTTGTGGGCAGGACCTCAGTGCCAAGGGAATCAACAGTGAACCTGCTGCATTTTCATCACCCACCACATGGCTCAAGCTCACTGAATACACCGGGAGCAACTGAAAAAGAAAGCCACCCATTTGGATTTCAAAATATGTGTCTCATTAGCTCCCTCTTGTAACAGTAAAAACAGACTGGCCCCAGATGAGGTTAGAATGACAGTGTTTTAAACTCCAGTAACGTCCCTCATGGTACATGTACTTCACCAGCGTGTCTATTGAAGAAACATAAGCAGTAATAATGAAGGCAAATTAGATGCTGGCCCTTGTTTCAAACGGAATGTAGTATAAAATTAGGAAGGTTTTGCTAAAACGACACAAGGTCCTAGTCAGACCACAGGTGGAATACTGAGAACAGTTTGGAGTTGCTGGTCTCAGGGAAGATATACTGATATTGGAGGCAGTTCAGTGAAGATTCACTTGGCTGGTACCAGATATGGAAGGATTATATTATGAGGAGAGGTTGAATATGTTGGGCCTGTACTCATTGGAGTTTAGAAGAATGAGAGATGACCTTATTAAACATAAAAGATTCTTAGGGAACTTGACAAGGTAGATGTAGAGACGTTGTTTCCCCTTCTAGGAGAGTCTAGGAGCAGAGGGCATAATCTCAGTTTGAGGAGTCGCACATTTAAGACAGAGGTGAAGAGGAATTTCTTCTCTCAGAGAGGATGAATCTGTGGAACTCTTTACCACAAAGGGCTGTAGAGATTGGCACATTAAGTATATTAAAGGCTGAGACAGACAGATTTTTATTCAGAAAGGGAATCAAAAGTTATGGGGAATGGCACAAAGGTGGAGTTGAGGATTATCAGATCAGCCATGATCTCATTAAATGGCAGAGCAGACTCAATGGACTAAATGGCCTATTTCCATTCCCCACCCCCGCCACATCTTACACAGGTTTACTCATGCTAGTCCTCTACCATGTCACAGTAAAGCAGCTGCACTCTGACCTAATGCTTTCAGCAGCCTGCAGTCAATAGTCAGCACGTTGTGTCACTCTCTCCCATTACACGGCATTAAAGGACCTTCAGTACATGAATTATCTTTACTTATAAATCAGGATGTGAGCTGGTAAGTAAGCAGAGTTATGAAGCCTGAAATGAAGAGAGGTTCTATATGTTAATGTAGAATACCGTATCAAGGTTAACAAATTCCTCATGTGAGAGTGGGAGTGGTAGCACTGGCCTTGTTTGCTTCAGTTTGTCACATTTGGATTTGCACATGATCACAGATGGTTAGTTTAGAGCCTGACACTGTATTAAAACCCTGGAGATTAAATACCTTGTGCGCACTCTTCAAATGGTCATAATAGACCTCCTCGATTGCCTGAAAGTATATCACTCCTTTCAATTTGGTTTCGTGTTTATCTACAGAGAAAGAGGGAGATGGGCTCATCAATGTTGTTAATCCTGAGACATTAACACATTAGGGTTTACTTCAACAGAGAGCTCAAGGAGGTCAAACATCTCTCACTGACTCCATCACCGACCCAGCAGCGATCCTCGAAACTTTTCCAGCCCCAACAACATTTACATACCGCACACCCTCACTCTCTACATCCCCACCCACCCCTTCACAAACCCCCTACCATCCTTAAATAATGACGGTCTCCATTACTCCAACTCATTACAATCTGCACCACACCGTTCCCAACTTGCACCTGAACCCAGTGTTAACACTGCCCACCCCATCCTCCCGAAAACACCACTCACACCTCCTCCACCCCCGGCAACCATCCTGAAACATCACTCACATACCCCCCCCAACCTCAGAAACATGACTCGCCACCACTACCACCCCCCCACATGTCACACCTCCCCCTTCCCCAAATAGAAACATCATTCACCCCACTCCTCCCCAGAAACCTTGCTCAGAACCCCCCACAGCCCCATCACTGGCAACATCACTCAGACCCAGTAAACAGGGGTCTTTTGGCATTGGGAGCTGTTGCTGATAAACAAAGGGAGAGGTACCAATACAAACACCAGCAAACAGCGAGTGTGTCTCCAGGTCCAGGGGATGACAGTAGGCCTAGACTGGATCTGGGTATCTCCACTCTCTTCCAGGTCCTGAAAAGTGGGCAGAACAGGGATAGTGCAGCAGAATGGAGCAGGATGAGCTGAACGGGGCAAGTGAGCACGACATGGCTGCATGTTCTTGTAGGACTCAGTGAACTGATTCAAATGAAAGCAAAATACTGTTTTTATTTTAAATCTGCAGCACTCACAAAGTGCTGGAGAAACTCAGCAGGTCTGACAGAATCTGTGAACAAAGAAACAAAATTAACATTGAGTCTGAAATGCCTCTTCAGAACCCACTTCTGAAAAACTGACATTTCTGACTAGAAGTGATAACTGTCTCTCTCTCTCTACAGATGCTGCCGACCTGCTGAATTTCTCCCACTATTTCTGCTTGTATTGTAGGCCAGTGATGTGATGTCAGGAGTTGCTGGATTCATCCCACACAATGTGGCTGAGCCCAGCTCTGGGCAGCCCAATCGGGAACGAGACCAAGAACAATTGAGATCAAGATTTTCTGCAGTGACATGGAGAGATGAGAATGAGAAACTGGGCTTTGTTCTCCTCTAAGCAGAGAAGGTTATAGGGAGATTTAAAGTAGGTGCCCAAAATTTTGAAACGTTTTGATTGAGTACAGAAGGTGAAACCGCTTCCAGTGGCAGGTAGGATCAGTGAGCAGAAGGGACACATTTAAAGGAACCTGCAAAACTACAAAAGGTGACACGTGGTAATATTTCCTTCAAGTCCGTAGCTTGTTATGAAGGTTTGAATGGCCTCAGTTTATAAAGCGGAGTCCATGCAATGCTACTGGGAGCCCCTACCTGCATAATAAGACAGAGTCCGCTTGTTACGATCAAAAACAAACCAACGTTTCTTCCAGGTTTTAATTTTGCCGCCCATTTTGATCAAGAAGCCTCTACATGTCTTCTCTGTGAGGGACACATGGTAGCAGGTCTCCACATTGTGCCCGGCTGCTTCGATGTGGGTTCGCAGGTCAAAGTCTTCCTTTCTGACTGGGAGGTAGCGCGTCAGAGGTCGGGCCTGCAAGGACAGTCTTCAAACATCAGCCCTCGGAACATCTACACTCATTCACTGTGACTTTACAACAACTACATGCATTTGCATTGCACCTTTGCTGGTGGAGAAAATCCCAAGGTTTTCTGAGGGAGCAACTGTCATAGCAACTAAGGAGCTAATAGGGCAGCTAAAGCTTATTGAAAGAGGCAGGATTATCTTAAAAGAGGGATAGAACAGGAGGTAACTCCATACCTTCGGGTCCAGTAAACTGAAGATATATTCACCACAGGTGGAGGGATTAGAATCAGGGAAGCACAACAGGCCAGGGTTAGGGAATATTAGATACCTCAGAAGTTAGTGCATAAATGGCTGCCCCACCTATGTTTTGTGCTGGTTGCTTGCTGTGTTTTTCGGATAGATCACATTCTGTTGCTTGAGATAAACTCTAAGCTTATCGACCACTTACAGCACCACTGAATCCCTACAGTGCAGATAGAGCCATTTGGCCCACTCAGTCTGAACCCTCCGAACAGCATCCCACCCTACCCCTGGAATCCCGTATTTACCACAGTAAACCCCACTAGCCTGTACATCCCTGAACACCATGGGGTAATTTAGCATTGCTGAGCCACCTAGATTGCACATCCTCGGACTGTGAGAGGAAACTGGAGCAGCCGGCGGAAACCCATGCAGACACGGGGAGAATATGCAAACTCCACACTGACAGTCGCCCGAGGCTGGAATTGAACCTGGGTCTCTGGTGCTGTGAGGCAGCAGTTCTCCCTCAACTTATGTCGTTAACATTGTAACAGCTTTTCAAAGCCTCATCCCAACTTTTTCCATCACCCCCTCCTGCCAGCACAGAACTAAAATGTAGGAGCATGGGATATGTTTACCAGCAATTATACCTGGTGAGGGCAGTTATACAAACCCAGGGGCTCATATTCTTTGGAATCAAAAAGGCCCAAAGGTGGTGAGATTTGAGGTTTTGACGATAATTTGCCAACCAGAGAGGAGCAGGAACCAGATCTGACTGTAGATGTACAATTGGAAATATCCCAAACATTGCCAGGTGCACACTGAGGAAAACGGTAACAAAGTGACAAAGGAGGTATTAAATTGTATTTAGAGATAATAATTACTAATAGTAAATAAAATGTAAAAATTAGTGAAAACTGCATTTGTAGCCAATGCCTCTAGGTGGAGCACTAGATCCATATGTGCAAAATTGGAGTGATGGCTGGTGATAACCTGAAAATATGAATAATATCTTTGTATTACTTAATGCTACATCAGCTAACCACTTCCTTCCCTCTCTTTATTGTAAGTAACGTAAGAAAAATGATCAATGTTGTTATCAGTTCAGGACAGTACTGAGTGCATTAGAATGCCCCACTTGGGGGCTAAACTGTGTCAAATTGAAATCTAACATTTGGATGGCCAAGCTAATCCAGTAGGACAACTGATGGGTTCAGACTGGGCTGCAGATTTTACTTTTCATTAGGATACCATGTGAACTTAAAGCGTTTGTGAAATACACGTGTATAGCAATAATAAATGGGCAGCACACTCGCTCAGTGGTTAGCACTGCTGCCTCAGTGCCAGGCACCCAGGTTCGATCCCACCTTCGGGTGACTACCTGTGGGGAGTCTGCACATTCTCCCAGTGTCTGGATGGGTTCCCTCCGGGTGCTCCAGTTTCCTCCCACAGTCCAAAGATGTGCAGGTTAGGATGGATTGGCTATGGGAAATTGCCCCATAGTGTCCAGGGATGTGCAGGTTAGGTGGCTTAGTCATGGTAAATGCGAGGTTACAGGGATGGGGGGTGGACTTGGGTGGGATGTTCTCTGGATGGACCAAATGACCTCTGCCTGTACTGTAGGGATTCTACGGTTCTACACTGCTACATAGGATTATCAATAATGAGGACGTCAGTGGAACTGAAGAGTGACAAATCCCCAGGACCTAATGGATTCTCTCTAAGGGAGCTATAGGAAGTAGGTGAGCACAATTATCTAGTTCCCTGGATTTAGGAGTTGTTCCTCTGGGTTAGAAGATTGCACATATCAGTCCGCTTTCTAAGAAGGGTAGAAACTAGGGAATTACAAACCAGTTAGCCTAATATGGCAGAAAATTGTTGGGAGTCTAGAATCAAGCATGGGGCAACTGGACCTGAAAATTTTCAGTTTATCAGGGAGAATCAGTAGATTCATGACAGGTAGATCATACCTGACAAACTTCTTATAGTTTTTGAAGAGGTGACTAAGGTAGTGGACAGGGGATTGTCTAAGGATGTTGTTTATGTGGAGCTCCAGAATCTATTTGGAAGTCTAGCATGTATAAAGTCACACATAACGAACTCTTAACTAAGGTAGAAGCCCATGGAATTGAGGGCACATTGCTGAAATGATTGGTTGAGTGGTAGGCAACAGAAAGTAGGGATAATGTGTAGGCATTCAAATTGGCAAGGAGGTAACCAATGGTGTTCCACAAGGATCTGTGTTAGGGTATCAATTATTTATATAATTTATTAACAATTTGGATAATTATGTAATTATTATGTGGAGGAGCTGGTGTTGGACTGGTGTGAACAAAGTCAGGAGTTACATGACACCAGGTTATAGTCCAACCTGACAAAGGAGCTTGTGATTGAAAATAAACCTGTTGGACTATAACCTGGTGTTGTGTGACTTCCGACTTGGATAATGGCATAGAAAGCCATATGTCCAAATTTTCATATGACAACATTCGATGGCATTGCAGACAATGTAGATGACAGTATAAAATTACAAAGGGTTGTTGATAGCCTGGGTGAATGGGCAAAACTGTGGCAGATAGACTTCAATGTAAGCAAGTGAAATGTTGTCCATTTTGGACCGTAAAAGGATAGATCAGGGTAGTTTCTAGATGGTATGAAATTAAAGAGACATGGGGTTTCAGGTGCATAGATCTATAAAATGCCATGAACAGGTTCAGAAAATAACAAAACAAACTAATGGAATGCTGGCCTTTTATAAAGAGGACTGAAGTATAAGGATGCAGAGGTTATGCTGCAGTTATACGAAACCCTGGTTAGACTCCACTTGGAATACTGTGAGCAGATCTGGGCCTCACACTTTAGGAAGGATAATTGGCCTTAGAGGGGGTACAATGTAGGTTTACAAGAATGATGCCTGATTACAGGGGTTGTGTGGAGACATTATACAAATTAGGCCTATTTTCTGTAAAATTTATAAGGTTCAGGGGTGATCTGATAGAAGTCTTCAAGAAATTAACAGGAAAAGACAGGGTAGATAAATTATTTCCACTAGTTGGAAATTTTAGAATTGTGGGCATGACTGTTCAAGGACAGATGTTAGGAATCATTGCGACAGATAAATTGGCGGTAAATGCTTGGGACTCTTTTCCACAAATGGCAGTGGACAGAGGACCAACTGTTAATTTTAAATCTGAGATCGATAATATTTTGTTAAGCGAAGCTATTAAGGGATATTGGCCAAAGGCAAGCAAATGAATGGCGGAGCAAACTCAAGGAACTGAATGGGATACTCCTGTTCTGATTATGACACGATCACATTATCAGAGATAATGGTAAAAGATGGTCAGGAATGGGTTCCTAATTGTGCTGCAATTGAGGAGGGGTTGAGGCAGGATGTCCTTTCGTTGTCAACAAATGGAACTAGTTGATGGGAGCTAACATGAAGTACAGTTGGTTCTGCTATAACGTGCATTTCTTCAACGCTAATTGGCTTTAACGGGATTGAAGAATTTAGAAGACTTTGTCAAACGCGAACTTTCCTTACTTGTATTGGCTATAACGCAATTCTGGCCCTATTAGTTTAAATGGCGTGGCTATTGCACATTTTCTTATGTCGCGAAGTCACACAAGAACGGAACAATCACGTTATATCAGAACTGACTGTAGTGGCAATGTTAGTCTAGAGGCCAGGTTAATGCTCTGGGGACAGAGGTTCAAATCCTACCAGTCCATCTAGTGGTATTTAAATGTAACTAACAAAACACGGAATTATAAAGTTCATCTCTATGATGGTGACCATAAAACTATCATCTATTATCATAAAAAAATGATCTGGTTCATTAATGTCCTTTAGGGAAGGAAATCTGTCATCTTACCTGGTCTGGACTACAATTCCTTGTGGAATTGACTGCCACTGAAAGCTGAATGCTTTCAAGAAGGAGTTGTGTAGAGTTCTTTGGACTGAGGGATCAAAAGGTATGGGGTGAAAGCAGGAACAAGGTACTGAGTTGGATGATTGGCCATGATCACATTGATATAATGTGGATCGGACTCAGCAAACACAAGAATACAGGAGAGGGAGTAGGCCTTTCAGCCTGTCAAGCCTTATCTGCCCTTTAAGATGACCATGGCTGATCATGGACCTCCATGCCACTTTTCTGCACTAGCTCTAACCTGCAATGGAATTTAAATAGCCTTCAAATTTCTTAAATACCTGTGATCGCTGTTTCTCTCGCATTTTAACTTCCTTCTCGATGAGCTGTTGCCTGCGTTCTGTCTCCTCCTGTAGCCTCCTCTCCAGCTGTTCCCTACGACTCCTCTCCTCCTCTAGGGCTTGTTTCTTGGCTTCCATTTCTCGCTCCTCAAACAGAAAACATCAAGTTAACTGCAGAAAAGAGATTCGCCCTTCCTTTGCTAGCCACATTCAGCAATTCCCTTATCAAGGGACAGAATTTGAATAATACATTATGCGACTCACACACTAGAACCCTAAATCTCAATGCAGCTCGGAATTCTGCAGCCATTCACCTTTTAAAATTCATCCACCACCTACACCGGGGCTCTAAAGCTGCACCCTCTCCTCCAAAGGTGCAATAATCCTCCCATGAGTAACCCTTTCAGTCCCAACAGCAAGACACAATCTCCGTAAGACTCAGTGAGGGAATGTCAGAGTTTATGGCCAATGCAGCTACTGAAATGCACAGCTGCTAATGGCCAACTCAAGGAAGTGGGGAGATAAGAAAGAGACCAGAATCGGAAAAGTTCAGATATCTCAAAGAGTTGCTGGAACTGGAGGAAATTACAGAGGAAATGAGGGGCAAGACCTCGGAGGGATTTGAAAACGATGAGAATTTTAAATTGGCAGCATTGCCTGGCCAAGGTCTGTTTGGAGAACAGGACTTGGGTGTAGTTCAGACATGAGCACCAGAGTATTGGATAAGCTCAGGTTTACCACAAACAAGAACACTTTGTTTTGTTATTTTGGAATTCAGAAGATTGAGGGGGGATCTTATAGAAACACATATAATTATGAAGGGAATAGATAAGATAGAAGTAGAGAGGATGTTTCCACTGGCAGGTGAAGCTAGGACAAGAGGGCATAGCCTCAAGATTAGA